AGAGAGAGAGAGAGAGAGAGAGAGAGAGAGAGAGAGATTTTACTTGTTTGTAATGGATCTTTTTGGTGGTGGTGGGAAAAATAACCTGTTTAAGAAATATGAAAATAGAGAAGGATGCAGAAAGCAGGTGAAAATGGCAGCTCCTCTTGAAATATGCAAACGTGTAAGCTGGTTTTCAAAAATTGTCATCTCTTGGTTTACAAATGTTCTTAAATGACAAAGAACTTACACCTTAGAAACTTACACCAAATGCTGAACAAGACAAAAGACAAAGAAGTGTGCAGGCATGGGTAAAATTTGAAAACATGAAGATGAGAAGGAAACAAAGACAATTTTTAAAGTTTTTTTGGAAGCTGGAGTAGAAGAAAGAAGCCTGCTTCTTAAGCAAGATTTTATTGTGTCTAATAACAAAAGGATAACTCCCAAAGTTTAACCTGGCGACACATGTCTGTGTTTTGACGATCTGAACAGTTCAGCATTATCTTTTTCTTGGTTTCAGTCCTGTGGGTTGAATGTTCTTGGTGATTTTGTCTAATTATTTTAAATCAACAATTGTGTTCATTTCAGTACACTTTTGCCAAGAATCTGCCCTTAGTAGGGAGAAAAAGACCATATGATCACTCATGGAAAGAAAGTACCAACCAGAGGGGTGGTTAGTATTTTGAAACACTTACTGTGGTACAAAATGCCAGGCTCTACCAGCTGTTTACAGTCATCAGTTATTGTCTTAACAAGATTGGTGTTGCTACAGTCTGGCATGATGCTACCTTTACAGGTCTTTCCTGAACTTGAGACACTTGAGCTTGCACTGGAACTGCTTCCTTGTATTTCTAAAACTAATGATATACAAAGAAGTCAGGGAGAACGAGGGAGGGAAGGGAGAAGGGAGAGAGAGAGGGAGACAGAGAGAGAGAGAGAGAGAGAGAGAGAGAGAGAGAGAGAGAGAGAGAGAGATCTCAAATGCTGGGAAACTTTTACAATGTGGGTTTTAAACTTTGTTTTACTTTAAATTGTATTGCTTACTACTTACTAGATTAAAGCAACAGAAAGTAATCTTAAACTTTAATCAACAATGAGATAAGTAAATATAGTTGTCATAATATTTGAATATGAAAGTCTTAAGGAAACCATTATGGTTTTCAAGTTTAGACACATTTAATAAATAAAAAAATTACTGTAACTTCATGTTGATGAGTTGTCCAAGCTGGAAAAAGTGCTTATAGTTTTTTCAGATAAATGTTACTTACTCTGTTTTCAAATTACACATTTTATCTCATGATGTTTTATTTGTAGAACTTCAGTATGGCGATTTTATAGGTAGCTGTACTATATTTTGCTGCTTAGTTTATCCGAGCACTCACATGTGGAAGTTTCTCATCTTTAAAAAAATAAAAATAAAACAAAGCAGAGTCTCTGCCAAAATTCACTTTTTGACTGCTTAGGAGCATCATAAGCCAAGTAGAATTCCTTTTCTGGACATGAATGGTTCTGAAAGAAAAAAATATTTTAAAATCTTCAACATTTTCTTGAATCAGTTATTTGTGTCTTACCCTGGATATTTAAAACATTTAAAATGTAAGTGCTATTTGTGTGTGCAGATGAGTTCGATAATAGAATCTGGAGAATGTATACATGTATATTTAAAGACAAAATATTTTGGTATTCTATTGAAGATTTCCACCAAACTCGTTTCATCCAATTATTTTCTGCCCAAATTGTGAATGGAAATTTATAGTTAGTTGATTGTTAAATATTATCGACACAAAAATTGTTACAGAAAATGTCTTCCTCAGGAATGTTTTCTTGTTGTTCCCTGACCTCATGTTGGCACTCATGGGAAAGAAAGTAAAAAAAGGAAGGAAGGAAAAAAGAAAGGAAGGAAGGAAAACAGACAAATATTCTCAAAGGGAATACAGTAGTGAAAAGAGATTATTCCCACTCCCCAGCCCCCCTTTTGCTCTCTGGTTACATTTTCCATTTCCTCTCCTCACAGCACTTGACATTGTTATTCTGCTGCTGGGACTGGCTTCACATCTTGAAGTACAACACTGCTTTACACATCAGGGAGAGTATGTATGTATTTAGTTTTTGGTACCTTGATTATTTTCCAGAGATCAGATTTTTGTAGTTTCATACATCACACAACACCGAACACTTAAGATAGCCTATAAAAATAAAGAACAAGTTGAAAGACAAAAAGATCCAGTAGGTTCTCCTGGCCTTTTTTTTTTAAAACAAAACAAAACAAAACAAAACAATAACAAATAACAAAAACTGACTTTTATTGATCTTTGACATGTTTGTTAACATTAGAATCAAAAACCTTGGCAAAAATTTAAAACGTAAAAAAAAAAAAATTCAGAAGAAAGAGCCTTCCCTGCAATTGGGATTTACTGATGTCATGAAGCTCAGCTAGAGGGGCCTGGGGAAGAGGGAGAAACCTTGTGACAGACCCCCTTTGAAGTAGAGTTCCAGCCAGAAAAACGAAGAGGGAGATTTTGTCTTCCTATGGTGGCACATAGATTGTCAATTGCTCCTGGCTTTCTACATCAAGTTGAGCCATTCTTGAAAATACTACTCTCTACTGACTAATCAAGAACATAAGTGCTATTTTAGAAATGAGGCATTTGCTGCACTTGTGGCTAGTTTGAAATAGTTGTAAACTAATTTGGTTAGTAAAATTCTCATGTTGAAGAAGTAGCTGTAATACTACAATTATGAACTTTTTACTTGGAATGGAATTAATAATCATGTCAACATGGAGGCAGAATGTAGTATACATAATAAATAAATAAATCTAAAAAAAGAATCATGTCAATAGCACAAGTTTTGTGTAGCAAAGATATAAGCAAAATGCTAAGGAGACAAAATGAAATTTATTTTAATTTTTTGCTAATTTTATCAATTTCTGGAATCTAGTTCCCATTTTTGTTTTTACTCTTCTAAATGATTTTGGTTTTAATTGAGTATTTAAATTATTTCACATTTCTTTTGCTAATTTTACTCCTATATTTATGACCTCCTCTGTTACACAACATTCCTTTCATATTTTCTTTAAAAAATATAAAATCCTTGTAATTTAATACTGGCAAAAAGACTTGACTGAACATTTTCTATGATTCATATCTTCTTAGATTGAAAATTGTTTTCTGCTTTCTTACTAATGGTAAGTCTAACCAAAGAGTTTGTTTTAAATTAGTACAATTATTAATAGTATAGCTATTAGTACAACGTTAGAACAAATGGTAAATATCAGAAATATTATTTTTGGCTAAATCATAATAGTAAATTTCAAATATGATTCCCCAAAGCAAAAAAAACAAATAAAAAACAAAAACACTACCACAAACAAGTAATATAAAAACAGCTCAAACTGGACAATGTACTTCTCCTATAGGAAAAGTGTAATCTTAGTTTTTAACACACAGGAGAAAATAACATGGTATATATGGCAAGAAGTAAAAATACATCTACTATATTAAAATTCTCT